TCCTTGTGCTTCTTCAAGAAATTTATTTCAGCAGTCTGTTTTAGCTCTTTTAATATCTGAAAAATATTCATTTCTGACAGCTTTGAACTCTTCATCAGATATTACATCATTCTTTCAATCTCTTCTAGCAGTAGCTACTTCTTTTCTTTTAGATAAAATATTCTCATTTCATCAAGGTTTTGAATACTCAGAAGATTTTCTCTTTGAAATATTATCTCTAACACTTGTTAGAATAATAGATGTAATAAGCTTCACTCTATTCTTAAGCATTTCATTTGAGATATCTTGACCAGAATTTCAATATAGCTTATTCTGTCTTTCAGATTTTAACAGTTTTATGCTTTCTTCAACTGCTTTTCAATCAGCTTTTTCAAAGTTAAACTGATTAGAGAGAAGAGGATTTTCACTCATTTATTTTTCACTCAGTTCAATATCAAATTGAATAATCTCATGACCTGATCCTGATGTCTCACTTGAATTAATAAATCAGTTTACAAGTCTTCTTTTCATTAGATTTTATGACATGAAGATTAGATCTATAATAGATTTCTGTTTCATACCTTTTCTAAAGAATGTTTGTTGATCAGACTTATTAATCAAATCTATTGAATACTCAAAGATTTATTCAATCAGATTATCAGCTCTCACTGCTCTCTTGCATTCTGAATTTCATCAGAGATGATGTGCATTAAAATCTCCTGCAATTATAGAGTTTCTTGATGAAGTTATGTTCAGAAATTCTCTATCAATTGTTCAGATATTGTTATTTTCCTTCAATGACTTTTCATTATAGATATTTATGAGCTGTATAGTATCAAACTCATTTTCTTTATCTATAATATCACTCACCAAAATATCAGAGTCAGACATGATATCAAATCTTAGATTGAATTGATATCTTGATCTCTTTCTTTCATAGATCACTACTCCTGACTTTATCTCAAACTTTTGAGGTAGAAAGCAGTAGTAGCTTGAATGAGAAATGATGTAATTTTGCTCAGCATCAAAATTCGGTTTCTGAAGTAGTACAAAATCAACTTTTTATTCAAATGCAATTTGAAGACAAGAATAAATACAATTTGAGTTTCTATCCACATTATTTTGAATAAATGTGATTTTTGAAGAGTTTTTAAACTTTTTTTTGTTGTTTTTGTTGTATATTCATACTAAAAGAGAGTAGAGATAGAGTAGAATCAATAATTCTTCTTATATATATCAGTGATCAGTTATTATCTTTATTAAAAATAAATTATTATCTTTCTTAAATCTTTATTATATTTTCTGAATTCACTTCTTTTACTTCTTTCACTTCTATTGAAGATTTACAAACTCTTCAAGAAATCACTGTGAATCACAAAGTCTATGTTATTTATAATTCAACACAGAATACTCTCTTTCAATTATAATAAATAATCACTTCATTCTTCACATCTGATTTCAGGCTATGAAATTTATGAAAAACTCAACATAAATATTGAGATGAACTATGAAATAATTATCAACAGATTATATTATAGATTACTAAAGAGTTATCTCTCTACTATAATCACTGCAACTTTATTCAGAAACATTTATTATAAACTAATTATAACTCTGATAAAATTTTCTAACATCTGAAGTTATCAGAATTAGACTGGCTGTCAGAATCATGAATTTCATATTTAATCTCATTTAATCTGATCTTATACATTTCTTGGCGTGAATTCTGCTAGAACTAGTTATTAAAAAAACATGTAAAGTGACTATATATCAGATCTTAAAATGAAATCATGACTTGAAAAAAATAAGAAAGTGATCTCATTTAATCTCATTTAGTCTTATTCTTAGCATAAAGTTACTATTTTTAGACATTTTAAGGTTTTTTTTAGACTATTTTTAATTTTTTAAAAAGTAACACTTTTTGATAATACTCAAATGAGATTTAAAGTCATTTAAAGCAATAAAAATAATTTAAATTGAGAAGTGAAAATCATGATCTCATTTGAAAAATGTGATAAGAGTAGACAGTAAGTCTCACTGAGACAGTATGAGACTACTATCTAATGTTAAAACTGTGTAATGAGATCAGTTAAATTGATAATGAAACTATTAAAAAATCTGATTCTGATCTCAGACACAATCGCACGGTCAGTCTAATCAGAATACAGATAATAAAAGAAAAATAATCAGAAAATTACTACTAAGCTGATAAGTTACTCTATCAGATAATAATTTTTAGTAATACTAACTTTCTAATTTAAAGAAAATCATGTGAAAATAATTATATATCAGTACTCTGATTTCACAACTCTTATCTGATAACTTCTGTGAATAATTACTTTATATATATATATCTCTGAATCTTTCTCTTTAATTAATTGAAAACTCCGAATTCTGAACACTTCTTTAAATACTTAATTCAAATCTTTATATTTCATATCAATCATGTCTTCAGTTCAATCTTGAGACACATTCCAAAGTTAATATACAATATCTAGAATCAGAGTTGAAGAATCATTGAAGAGTGTCTCTCATAGTAAATGTATAAACTAGTACAAACAATCTTACATTTATAAGAGTTATATATTATTATATTAATGAGAACTGAACTTATCAAGAGATATTAATTGAATTTAAATCATTGATCAGTAGTTATACTGAGAATTATATAGTAGAAATATTAATAACAGTGATTAAAAATAACTATTAAGATATTAGTCTCAGTCTTCTTACAATTATAACTGATAATACTGTGAATAACTATACTATAATAAAGAGCTTAAAGTAAAAATTAACTTTACATTTCTGAAATGATAAATAAGATTATATTCTCTGTATTACTCATGTGATTTAACTTATAATATAAACACTGATAAAGAATCTTAACATTGAGATAATAAATAATGAGATGACTGATTCTTGAGATGAGAATAAGATGAAAGTACTTACTTAAGTAACTTTTATATTCACTTTGTAAAAGATAATATTTTTTAATAATACTTTTTAATAATACTACTGTTAATTTTGAATAGATTAACTAATAATTTAAATATTACAGATTTGAAACATTGCTAATATAATTTATATCTTCTCTAAATAATAATAATAATTTCATGATATTCAATAAATAAATAAATCAGTCACATTACTGAATATAATACAGAATGTTAAAATACAGTGAAGTTCAATATATAAGATAACTATTTAGACTCTTCAATTATATCAGATAATTAATCATTAAGTATAATACTTTAATTAAAAAAAGATTCAGATATTGAAACTTTTTAATATAAAGTGAACTCAGTTGAAATATGTAATTAATTTACTATTTCAGTTTTATAAAATAATAAAGACAGTTTTAATTACTTATATCTTAATACTGTAGTCAGTCTGATAAGTATATAACAGTTTATTTACTTATCTTAAGAAGCAGTTAAATCACTTAAAAAGAAATTCAGTCTGAAATAATACTATAGTACAGACTATTATTACTGTAAGAAATAAACTAGTATATTACTACAGTAAAACTGAACAATCTTTTACAGAGTACTATACTATAGCAGCTCTACTAGATTTCTTCTATTGAGTTAATATTTACACTTCTCAAGATTGAACAGAGAAGAAATGAGACTTATATATTGAATTAGTTTAAAACTACTATAATATCAACTATCAGAGATTTGAATAAGCAGATATTCAAGATATAAAGACAGTGAAATATAATTCTTCAGTAAGTAATAATCTTTAATAACACTTCATATTATATAGAACTATAATACTAACTTTGAAACATAACTTATATACATTGATTATAACTGAAAATCAGATAAAACTATATACTTATAAAACTGAATTTGATTACTATCTTTAAGATAATCTGATGAATTTACACACTAAATTAATTTTAGAGTTATGAAAAATTATTAAGAGTATATATTCAACTATTACACTGATAATATATGATATTCTGACAATTTCATTAATAGAGATGAGAATGAAGTGAAAGTTCAACTTAAGTTAAGATATTTATCACTATTATCAGAGACAATTATAAGAAGAAATAATTAAGAAACTTATAATTGTAAAACATAGAATTATCAGATAGTTTAATATCTCTAATCACAGTATATCAGAGAAGTATAGTTTTCATAAGAAAGTGAAAAATAAACTTATATAAGAATATATTTAGTTGTTTTATAAGTATTATTAATAATTATTATCAAATTCTAATTATATAAGTAATCACTGAATAAATTAAATAAGACTGATTTTAATCTTCAGTTTCAGTCTTATTCTGATTTTAAAAGAATAATTATCTTTTATAGTTTATTCTGAGAAATTACTTTTATTTTACTGTTTTTAAATTAAATCTAATTATTTTTCACATCATTTCTCTTAAAAATAATTTATTTTCAGATTTTTTTAAAGCTTGATTCTGATGAAACTTATATTAAAAAATGTATAAAATCAGATTAAATAAGATTAAATATGAAATTTATAATCTTATTAATCAGTCTATAACAGACTATATCTGATTAATTATATAGATTATTTTATTACACTTTACAGATTTCACTGAAAGCTTTAATTCTCAGTTATTAATTCTCAGTTAAAAAACTTATAAAATTTCTATTTTTTCACTTTGAAGCTTTACTATGTATATAAAGTCTCTATTCTTTCACTTTAAAGCTTCACTATATATACATATAAATATTTACTTTAATTACTAATTTTCATACTTTCTCTTTCTTTTCTTCTTTAATGTTTTTTACTTTTATATTATAAGACTTATATATTATACTGATCTATTCAGTATAGATCTCTTATAAAAATCAATTTAAAATTAATTTAAAATATTTTTTATCTTAATATATTTTAAAATTCTGTAAAACATCTCTTTATATTTTGTATGAATTTATCTGTTTATTTAATTGATTATAAATCAGCTATACATGCTTTGATTGATTGATGAGCTGAGTGAATAAAAGGTTGAAAGTCAATTACCAACTAATTATTACTGTATTGTGCGAGGTTGGGGTCATGATTATGTAATGAGGTCAAGTGGCGCACTTAGCGAGGTCAAGTTTTCTGTACACGTGAGGGAAGGCCATCTTCCAAGGTTACCAGCTTCCCCGTTCCCAGCTTGGTCGGCAGGTTAATGGTGCATTTACTTGCGGGTCAGCGCAAATCTCTTACAATCTGCCATCCCCCTCTTACCCCTTGATCGTCTACCTTTTCGTGCTGCGCGAGAAACGTTCAACCCCTTGAGACAGACCCAGGTTGCATATCTATCCTCCGACAGTCAAGTCATGTTTAGGCGCCCGAGACAGACTGAGCCAGACAGGCTCTCAACAAGACTCAGCACAATACTTCAACCTCTCACTGTAATTCCTTGGGGATCGCTCGCAATGTGGTATCTGGGCGTCCCTGTCGTCTGTGGGGTAAGAATGTGTACCTTTAATAATAAATCACTCACCCTTCCTTGTTCCTGCTAACCATTTTCCTATCCCTGCAGGCCACCATGGTTGTTGTGCAGGACAATCACTACACAGTCGCCATTGAAAAGCTCGAGAACGCGGGATTCACCCGAAGCATTCCAAATCGCACTCCTCCTCTGGAGGTCATGGAGGGTCATCCAAATCCACAACAGATGTTGGAGGAAATAAATGCTGGCTACAAACGCCTTGATTGTTCTTGTGCAGTATTTGATTATCCACAAGATGATCCAGCAGAAAAGGGTTTGCAGGTGTACCTGTTTCCAAATTCCTTTACACACATTCCCTTAGGAGAGATTTCTTACCCTCCAAACAACATCACATATGCTACGACCACAAAACAATTTGATACCTACAAAAATTTACAATATCCGCTAGAACAGGCACTGGTTGAAAGCTTTGTTATGGCTGCGATTGATGAAGAAACAGAGTCAGGTTATTCTGCATGGGGCGAGTCATTGAGATCCTGGATATCCATGATGACAGGATACCTTGAGGTCAATAATGATGTTCTTGATCATTGTTCAGATAAGCAGGCAGTGGAATGGTATAGTACCAATTTTGGTCGAATCCATGAGGCCAAATTTGGTCCGATGGATCGACGCATTTCTAAACGCCTTGGCTCAGGTAAAGAGCTACCAATAGATATGAGGGGGAATCCTATTTGATGTTTTTTCCCCCTTCATTGACTACAATACACGGGATATTCTTTTTTGGACAATACTTAAGCAATAGAATTCATATCATCTGCCAGACGTATAGCAAGACTATGTTATACCCCCAAGGTTCCGTTGAACAACAAAACTACATGCCCTTCTCCCCGCCAACGGATTTCGGTAACATCTGTAGCACTGCGTAACCCTCCCCGAAGGCCACCGCATGGAACAAGCTCTCGCCCTCCCTAGTAGTTTGACCTTGGATGTGTGATTATTTCGGAATCTGCCACCTTCATTGAATTCTATCGCTCGATCGATGACCGGGTTGAGGCGGAGGACAGAGAAACTTATTAGTTTTGGAATACAGCGGTGCATTTGACCTTTGCCTTCAGAGACTGGACCAAGGCTGGCCTCTTTTGAACAAGATTTGCTAGCGCAGTTTGCAACTCCTGGCTTTGATTGAAGTCGAGCTCTGGTCTGCCTGGCACTGCCAAAGGGATCATATTCGTGATATCCCGGATATCTGTTCCCTCTTTTGGACTACCTTGGCGCTGATACTGAGACAAAATCTTTTCACGCAGGATCCATTCAGCGCCAAAGAATTTGACTGCGCGACCATTGATATTCAACGTCTTCCGTGTGGCGGCCTGAATGTTGTACTGGGGACGTTGCGGCCAGCTTTGGAAGTCGAATACTTCTAGCTCCACTAACTGGGCGGCACCTCCTGGTCGGCGCAGTTTGTATGCGGGAATGGTGTGCCTGAACTGGCTGACTCCTTCGAAATCGGTTGGGAAGGATGTGAGGAGCTGAGTTGTAAGACGGTCGGCGGTGATCATACGTTAGTCAACATGAATGACCAAGTCAACGTCTTCGGTCCTGCGAGTGGGGTCGGGATACAACAGACAGGTGGCAGCGCCCCCCATAATGGCGTAGTCGATGTTCAATGAATCAAGTTTCTGCGCCAGCGCGGAAACAACAGTTCTCAGTTCATCAGGGCTGAGCGGCGCCATTGTATTTCAGGTATCGCTAGACTATGTATGTCAGCATGTCATTCACAGCTAACGGAGACAAGTAACACTTACAGGGTTTGTGTTACATCTGGAATTTGGTTCTTTGGGTGAAGTTAAATGAAGAGTAGCGTTCTGCTTTCAAGTTGGGACAGAGGAAGAAGAAGAAATTGGCGATTCCCAGGAAAACGACGCTCTATTTATGCTATTTTTCATCACGACAAGAAAGAGCGACGGTCTCAGCGGAGATAATTCTCACTTCTAGTGGCGGCGCTTAGAGCCAGTGGTTGACTCTCGCTCTGCGCTTGTCTCTTGCATTGATGTGAGTCTGCAAAACTGTTTGGATCAATAAGAATTGCAAAAAACATCCGAAACGTTGGGATCTGAAATTTTCTAATGCAGGACCGACAGAGGCAACCCTGTCCATTCAGATTGACCAGTCATTCCTGGTGCTTGTTCCCACGACAAGAATGGAGTTGCAGGCATTCTTCCCCATCCAAATGACTACCACCAAACATCATGGTTCAATGTCAGCGCTTGGGAGTCATTCATATCCAGAATACCAATAATGATTGGCTAAGCCTCTGCTACATATTGACAGAAACTTAGTTTATCATCTTGTACAAGTATGAAATTGAAGAGACACATGTATGAAATATTTATGCGCCAGAGTAAACCGAATCAGAGGAGAGTTTGAAAGTAGAATCCTGGCAAGCTCTCATTATTTATGATGTCTTCAGACACCTGCGGATCCAATGAAATTTCTCTTGAAACAGGATCCAGTAATCTTCTCCTGTTCATGATATCTTGGCGACTTGCTCGGTGGGTAACTGCTTGAAAGGGGAAACAAAAGGAAGGGTCAACTAGCCTAAGATAGTTTGGGAGGAGAAGGAAAAAGGATGATGGAAAGGCACGTAGCCTATTACTGCGTATACGCATCCTAAGACGGCGGCCGCTCATTCTGGAGGGAAGAAAGGGGAACCAAAAAAGTGAGCCGGCGGATCCATGCTAAGCTGCGCCGCAACGGATATGCACATCGAGGGCGTTTGGCTCCGGTAATCTGAACGGGTTGATCCATCCATGCAAGGAATAAGCCTGGCTGGCTGGTCGCACGGCGGGTCCATCCGTCATGGCTTGCTCGGCACCAAACGGGCGAGTGGTTGCGTGGGTGGCCGGGTGGTGAGCGAAGGTGATGCGATGGAGAGCGCGGGTGAATGAGCCTGAAGTGGAGTGGACCCTGGCGAAGTCAGGCAATGATAAAGCAGCTGGACACACTAGCCGGATCAAGGCTTGAGGGGTTAGTGTGTGATAACGTGACCAACCACCCAACGCCCGCCATTTCACCATTATTATTATTAGCTGAGCCATCTTGCTCTAGTGACAGTGAGTGATAAGTTCATCAGTATATGTATTTTCTTCCTCAAGCATGATGCATCTTTCTCTAGAAATTCTTCCTGCCTTGCCTCCTTCACCAGCCACTGCCTTCTTTCTCGCATTGTCAATTCTATTCTCTCTTCTGTCTCTTCTTTTCTCCTCTCTTTTCCCCTCCTGGCTCTCCTGCTCTCTTTTCTTCTTGATCTTGGTCTCTCGTTGCTTAGCCCACTCTGCTTCTGCTTCTGCAGCTTTTTTTTTTTTTTTTGAAGCGTTGTAAATTTGGCCTGTAGCCTGTCTATTCTCTTGCTAGACCCTCACATCCTCACATTGAACAAGTGACACATACGTTATGTATTAATGTGTCGAGGGGTTGACGTAGTGAGTTTGTTGGCTGCGTTTGTGATCACTGATGGTAGGGGTATATAGAACATAGATTGGGAGAGCGAAAAGCGAATGGAAACGAAAAAAGGACTGCAAAAAGGAATAAATGAAAATTAAAAAAGAGGAAAGAGAAAATATGTATCGGATGGATTAGAGTTAATTTTATATAAACTCGGCTGAATTCTCTTCTTGGCTTCACTTCATTCGATGCGAATGAGGGTAGATGGGGAAAAAAAGTTAAAGTAATAAGAAAAAGTAGAAAAAACTGTCGTTAACCTTGAAAACCGAATCGGAGTGTGCAACGAAAGGAAAATCTCAACTCATACATCGATTGACTGAACGAGGAAGAAAATGGAAAAAGGAAGAAGGAAGAAGGAAATTGGTTAAAAGAAAAGAAGAAGGCAGAGAGACGGGGAGAAAACCCGGCGAAACTATGAGAGATAAGAAGGAGAAGGAAAAGGCGGCTTATTAAAAATAGCGTAATGTAGGAGGAAGGGGGGGGTAGAAATCATCATATTGGTGTCTTCAGAAGAAAGCAGGGGAGGGAGAAAGAGGAGAGAAGGGAAGAAAGAAAAATATACAGCAACGTCCTGTAGTACCGTGGTCCCTGCCATGGGAGTTGGGAGAAATGAGCATTAAACATGATTTTAAAGCACCCCTGGCCGCGTCGCATGGTGTGATGTGAGAGGTGAGTAGGGTAGACCGGGGGTGTGAGGGTGATGGAATGAAACGAGGTAAAATAAAATCAGCCAAACACGGAGATAAGAGTAGAATGAATAAACGAAATGCAAAAAAAAAGCCGCGAACACCACACCAACCCATTCCATTTCCCTTTTTTTTTCCCACTCTTTTTTTTCAAAAACTTACATCCCCCAGCACACGCAACTTCTATCCCTGCCCCTGACCCTGGCCCGATGGCGTAGATGACGACTCGGTAGTTTGTCCCTGCTGTCCCTGAGCGCCTGTAGCCACACCAGCACCGCCCATCATAAAACCAGGGAACATGTGCATACCCGGAAGCGTAAACCCAAAGCCCGGCACAGCAGGGGGGACACCAATTGCGTTTGCGTTGTTGGCGCTCGCGGAGCCGTCGTGGTCGTTTCGATCGCCGTGGCCGTGGCCGCTACCGTTGCGTTGTTCGCCGCCATTGCCCCCGGATACTCCTGAGGATGACATTTGTCCGTGTCCGTGGCCGTGGCCGTGAGCGGGGCTGTGTCCGGGGCCGGGACCGTGGCCATCGTCCATCGGACCGCGGTTCGGGCGGCGGAAGCGTTCTGGTTCCATGTTAGTTCGGGTCGATTGGGGGCCGCGTTTCCCACCTTGGTCGGTGGCCATGCGTCGGCTTATTGCTGTTTGAGGTTTTGGTTAGTTTGTTTTTCCGTTGAGAGCGAGAGGCAGAAAGGGAGGTAAAGGAAGTTAAATTGCTTCTGGGTGAGTGAAAACATACCTTTCGAAGACACGCCAGCCCCGATCTCAATATCGGGTTCCTCCACCACCATAAAACTTTCGATGGGCTTTCCACCCGTTCCGCCGTATTCGGCGTTAAGCATCCATTTGCGGTCTGCGTCCGTGAGTCGTTCGATGGGGATGACGCTGATGCCGGTTTGGTAGTCGCTGCAGTCTCGAGGACCGAAACCGACACCCCATCGTGTCTAGGGCATGAAAACGTCAGTTGGTGAGCAATGATACGCCACGATCGATGGTTGGGACTTACTCGTAATTGCATGTCTCCAGACTTATATTGCTCCATGCCCTCGCGAGCAGTAACGGCATCGTGTCTATTGATCATCTTCACGAAAGCATGACGTTTGTCAATATTCACTATACATGTTTGGACCACACCGTAGCGGCCGAAGAGCGACCTTAAATGAGCTTCAGACGACCTGCATTTTCCCTGTAAGTTTAACCGCATGTCGATGAGGGGGCTTGGGCCAGCAAAAGATTTCAAACAGAAAGAAAAAAAGAAAGCAATAACTCACGTTACACCTCCGACGAACAGAGTTCTGCTGAGAACTATTATGAAGAAAATTAGTTAGTAGTGAGATCACAACATTTAAACATAATAAAAAAGTCGTATAAGAGATACCTTTGATATTGCCCTGGCCAATTGAATAATCTCGTTCCAAAAACTTCGGTCCGGGAGGAGGAAGCGCAGGCTCCTTACGAGGCGGCGTCGGGCTTCTACGTCGCCTTCCGGGTGGACTGCGCTGGCGATATTCAGGGGGCCGTCGTCCACGGGCGTCTCGAGTGTCTCGGTTCCGGCTCGGGGAGTCACCATGATATTCTCCATACACAGGGCTATCGCGACGACGAGGCGGGGAGGCTTCGCGGCGTCTATCCCATCCAGGTGATCTGGAGCGGCGTCGGTAACCTCCTGGTGGCGACCGAACATAATCCTCTCGTTCATGGTCTCTGCTGCCCCGGTGGTCGCGATCTCGGTCACGTGATGCTGTGTCTGGCGCAGGAACACCCCAGGTATTCTGACTAGCGGCAGGCGGCTGCTGGCCGAAGGCTGCTAAGGCTGCGGCGGGGTTCATATTGGCCATGCCGGTATTTGCAGTGTTGGAAAGACTTAGGATTTGCAGCGCCGTGGCCCACTGTTCTTGCGGAATACCCTGCGCAGCCATGAGCTGGAGCAAACTTAACTGCTGCAATGTCTCTGGAGGCAGAGCACCCGCCTGCGGCATCAGGGCAGCAAGTGGGTTCTGTGGTGCTGCCGCCGCCGCTGCTGCTAGAGGATTCGCAGCAGCAGCTGAAGCTTGTGCCTGGTTTGCAAACATATTTGGATTCTGAGCCATATTACTCAACCCCGCAAACTGATTTGCAAGATTTCCCGCAGCAGCGGCAGCAGCATAGGGGTTTACAGTCTGCCCATTGGACTGTTGCGCAGCCGGGTCTACGGACGCGGGGATTGGTTGCGGAACTGGATTTTGCGCATTAAATATACTATGGGGACTAGTTTGCGCTGGCGCGCCTGAGGCTGCTGTGGCTGCCGTGCTGTTTTTTGCCATATCTGCCAATGCTTTCAAGATGCTAGAAGTATCTGGTGCTGGCGTTGTTTGGCCGGGGCCTGCAACGGTACTGGCACCGGCAACGACAGATGATGATGATGGGGCTGCATGCTGAGCTCCGCCTAGGGATATGAAATTGGGGGCCGGTGATCCATCGGGCGTAGTTGATTCCACGTCTAGAAGAAAAGAATAATTTCATACATCAGAAAAACTGGTTTCAACATACCCTACAATGCCTCTTCTCGCTTGATGTATGTCGACTGTACGCTCCGTAATATGTCCGCTGCTTGTTTGTTTGTTTGTTTGTTTGTTTTTTTTCTTAAAAAAAGAGAAATAGGAAACTGGCGAGAAGAGGCGTTTGTTTTTGGCTTTTGGTTTGTTCTTCATTTTCATTTTAATCCAAGGGGGAAAAGGCTTACTTTGAGATACTGGCGCGTTTAGCTTCTCCTTGAAGGAAGCAAGCAGAGGCGCTGGAAACGTGTATCCACGCTCCCAAATATCCACTAGCTTCTTGATTTTGTCCTAGAAAGAAAAAACCGGTCATACGTAAGTGGGAATTATTCAGTCACCATATAGAAAACAGGAAAACAAAAGAGGATAATCAAAAAATCAGAAGTGTAAAATGAGGCGAGTCTAGAGCCCGGCGGAAAGATGTGGAATATAAAACCGCAGCTTTCGTGCCAAACGAAGGGACATATACGCGGGGGGGCATATTGTTCTATGGTGGACGCAACAAAGGGCCTCCCAAATGCTGATGGTATAATGCCATTATGCGTGTTTTCTTTATAATATAATTGTAGCCAGAAATGATTCTCTTTCTTTCTGTCCGACTTTTGGCTTTTTGTGTCTAAGAGTACGCGTACCTTTTGATATTCAGGAGCATTGTTTATGATATCAGTCATCAGGACGGGAAGCAATTCAGTCACTCTGTTAACACCAGCTGCAAATGTTCCATCTGGTGCACCGCTACCGACAGTTTGGCCAGCTCTCCGTGCTGATTCTACCCACTGTCGAGTTACAGAGTCTACGACATAGAGTACGCCCAGCTTGTGTGTTCCGGGGGCTCTTTTGAAGTGGGTATATATTTTTTGAACGAGGACGGATTCGGACTATAGAGTAGAAGAATATTATGTTAGAGATAAGTGTTTTTTTGCCTTCTATTTCTTTTTGCTTTGGGAGGCAGGTAGCATATATGGAACCTAGATGAGCCATACCTGTACATTGGCGGCACATAGAGAAGTGATGATGCTGATTTTGGAAGCTGATACTCCAGGTGGCTTAAGTGCCAACATAGACTGTAAATAGCCATCTAACTCCGCTACGGCAGACGACATGGCTTTAAACCGGAGGGGAGGAGTGTTTCTTAAGGGTTGCTACCAGTTAAGAAGGAAAATGACCGCAAAAAAAAGTAAAAAAGCCTGTTCAGGGCTTGATCGATTTGTCCAGACTTCTTTCCAGATGAAAAATTTGTTCTTCTTTTGGTAATTGCCGTTGTATAGATAGATGAATACGGATGATGGACGCGCGGAGAGGATAAGAGTTAAAAAAGGCCGTCCAATAGAGCTGTTTTCTCTCCTTCTCTTAATCTACTGCTGCGAGAGAACTGTGACGACAACTAGGAATAAGGCGAGTCCCAGGAAAGTGTGGAAAGTATCTAAGTAGAAGAGATAGATGATTATTCAGGCGAAGATGATACCTATGAGATCGAGCTGGATGAAAGTCCTGATGATACTGTCGTTGTGCGAACGAGAAGGCACTACAAAGACGCAGAAACCTGTTGACCTACAGGTCGAGAGGCAAGTGAGCAGCGGGCCAAAGACGCCCAACGCGGTGTAGTGAATACGAATACAGTCAGCGGGGAGAGGAGAACAGAAAAGGACAAGGAATAGTTAAAGAGAGGATGGATGGAGATGGATGAAAAGTGTTGATGCGTCGAAGGTTGTTGAGGGTAGAAAGTTGAGGAGAAAAATTACCAGTTTGAGCAACCGGAGCTAGCCGTTTTCGGTTATCACGTGATTTTGCTTATATATTGGAATCGTCGGGCGACATGATTGGACAGCCGATTTGTAGCTCGTTTGTTGTATCAAAATCACTACTAACCGTGCCATGCTTACTCACTCTCTGTAGTGAGTGCGCCACAGTGTACAGAAAACCACACTGTAAAGAAAATATTTTGAATATAGTAATCTTCAAAAATTAATTAATAATCATCATCACATCTATCTATAATATAAAGATTATCTATATACTCATTAGAAGATGTAGAATTCACTGTAAGTTAAGATTCTATAAAATTATCTTGTTGTGATTGAGTGACTGTAGATTTTATAGATTTGATTCCAATCAATTGAAGAGTCTTATTGAATGTCTTTTTCATCTTATCTGCTCTACAGATTGCAATCTTGTGATTGGCATTCTTAATAGTGAGAACTTCATCTACTTGCATCTGTCTGTGAGAGAATTTAACAATCTAATGTCTATTTGTTTAATAATGATCTGCAAGTTCACTCTCATGATGCATGTTCAATTCCACCTGAATCATGCTACTCTTGAAGATCTTGTTCAATCACCTTGTCAAATCAGGTGTAAGAATATTCTTCACATCTTCTAAGGTCTTGACTACTACATTAATTTGATGACATAGTTTTACAACTGTCTCTGAGAAGATTAATTATTAGAAGACAGTTAATAATTGATCTGCAGATGATGAGATAAAGTGATCACATACATTATTATTATCATTGTATATGTTGAGATTCAGAGCATCATCAATGATAAGAGGTCTC